TCTGCCCCATCACCATCCAGCCCCATCACCATCCAGCCTGCCCCATCACCATCCAGCCCCATCACCATCCAGCCAGACCCACCACCATCCAGCCCCATCACCATCCAGCCAGACCCACCACCATGTTTGAATCACAGGTCTTCCGCAGGCTGACAAAAATTTTTGGTGACAACATCTTTTATTTGACTGAATCGAGAGCCTGGTCAGTTACCCTACTTGTGTGAAAAAAATCTCAAAGTGAAACCTTGACTTGTTTTTGAACAAATTAGAATTCAAATCTCGGAGGAGCACTATTTATTTTTAAATGGTTACGCTTACAGAAGACCTCTTTTTCTTGAACCTGTTGTTAATTTTTTTTTAAAGTGTTTCGTCAGTTTTAGTCTCTTTGCGACATAACGACCACTCTTCTGACAGGTGTCACATATCACTCTGTTGCGCAGTCCCCGTGCTTTGTCCACTCACTGCAAAAACCAACGACCGTACTTTGTTTTGCTGGTGTCCAATTTTTCTTGACACTTGTCATCAACTTTTGTGCGACAATGACGTATGATTTATTTCACCACATGGTCTCCAAATGTTTATGCTACAAAGTCTTATTTTATCTCTGTATGTTTTTTTGTTTCAATTTTAATTTCTTTATTTCTCGACACATTTACCCAATTTTGTTGCAGCAATGTCTTATTATTCACACAATGAGGTCACTATTTTTTAAATAGAACAATGTCTTTTCACCTGGCAGTAACACCTTCATATTTTGAGCCATAATAATGTCATCTTATCACGATCACCTCACAGTACTATTATCATGTTTGTGCAACAATGTCTTAACTGTCACCTCCTCATGACAGCAGTTTGTGTATACGTCAGGCAGTCACCTTAGTGCCATGGGACACGGCCAGTATTAATTCAGCTACTTTTTGGTGAAGAAATTTCATCATTTTGCTCTCGTGAAATGGGACCGTACTCAGCGAGAAGCAAAGTACATGTACTGGCAACTTGCTGACTCTTGTTTTAAGGTTTTCATTTGAAATGCGATGTCACGTAGTGAAGAATTTGTTCTCCAGATTGATTTCTCTATCTGTTTCTACCATCTTCCTCGCCTGTGAATGTTTGCTGTTTTGGTGGATGTGGCAAAATTGTCTTTTATGGAGGGAGAAATGTAGGTGGATGGTGGTTGCTCTACTGGTCGTCAGGACTTGTGCTACTCGCCAGACAGGAATCATTGGGAGCTCTCCCCAGCTCTATTTTCACATCACAATTTGTCGCCTATTTTCCTGTCATTCCACCCCTTTTTTTTCTTTAAAAAAAATCTAAACTGACAACGCGCACTCATATGATCTAATGCAGTTGTGAGCGCAGTAAAACCCTTGCCAAAACAAGTACCTGAAGACAGGACTCTTCACTTTGCACACAGTGGTGGGTACTTTCCTTCCTGTGTCTCTAACTTTTTTTTAGATTAGGCTACTTAAATTCAAGGACCGGAATCAATTCAGAAAGAAGTTACCTCTGTCGTAGTTACTAACTAGATGTGCTGGTTTTCGAGTTTGTGAATTAACACTGTTTTGTATTCTGCCATATGTACAAAGTGAAACGTAGATAAGTAGAGACAGTGCTAAAAAAATAGTTTTTAAAGATTGTATCACAATTAAAATGCAATTATCATGTATGCCATTCACATTTTTTTCTTTGTAATATATATGCTATAGCTAGTCTGATCATTAGAACAATTATGATGCAAATCACATTATTTGAATCGTAAATAACTTTGCAACTCTCTTGAAGGGGTTTTTATTTTGAAAGAATACTTACAATGATTCTGTTTTTGTGTCTGAGGATGATAATTGCCATTTGTATAACATAACTGAATAGCAGTTTTGTGATATCATGAATGTCGCCGATTGTTTGTGAATGTGGGTCACTGACACCAACATTTGTCGCTACGAGATGTAAGTACTCATTAATTTATTCAATGAATAACTTTGCCTGAACATGTTGTATATATATATATGATGGCTCACTATTTTGTCACAACGTATCTGTTTGCCAAAAGCTCTCCGTGTGTTATTTGCTATGTTCCCTCACAGTTTATAATATAAGACATTTAGAGGGTCCCGTGTATTAAGGAAAAAAAGATTGCTTAGCTGTTCGAGGTTTGCATTATAAAGGTAGTAGATGGTAAGAGGGGTACTTCACAAATGTAAAGCAATATCGTTTTTATTCAAACATTGTAGATTTATGCATGTTTTTACAACTTCCAAAATTGTCTTTTTTTCTGGGGGGGGTGTGATGTAGGTCTTTTATTCT